GACTATGTAGTGCTCTCTGCTAGTGACGGACAATGACCCGATTTGAATCGATCAATAGGTAGACCGTCTTGATTCTTGCAATTAGTTGCAGCTTCATCTAGCCGATCGCCGTAATGAGGCAAGTAATCCGGTCCCGGGTTCTGTAATTAACTGCTAACCGCCAACAACAGGTGCATCGTTCAGAAGGATGAAAGGCAACTTGACAGTAATAGAAAGAGTAATCCAAGAGATTTATTTACTCAGAAAGCATGAACGTTCTGAACTGATTGAAGGGTCAAATGAGGTCTCAGCCTTACCAATTCTCCCTATTTTTTCGTCATTCCAGGTTTCGGTCTCGAAGGAGTGCAGGATCAATCTGGCTAAGATGTGGGACTGCTCGTTGTGTTCCGGTGAACCACAGGCAAAGCCCTGTTCGGGTCTCTGCACGAATGTCATGAAAGGATGTCTAGCTGATTGGGCTGAAGTTGGATCAACAGTGGAATTCTGTGATTGGTTCGTTTCATCTTCAATTTCTTTTTTTTACTTTCTTTCAAAATTACTAAAAAATCCACCAAAGCCGCGGAACACAACCATAAATGGACGGCGCTATTTGGCTACTTCCTGACAAATAAAGGTCGTATTTTGGTAGCTATAAAACGATGCCATTGAGCCTGTTTGGTTGCACTAATTTACAGGTCTTCACACAGTGCTGAGGCATTTGGTGTTCCCACCAAGCCGAACTGTGCCCAATTTTGTTATTCACTGTAATCCCAAAACAGTTCAACTTTAAACAGTTCCAGTAATTTTTTGAGCGATTGGGCATCAAGTTGCTCCCGATAACATAGCTCGCGCCCACTACCATAGTTTGAAAAATAATTTGACATCATCGGTAATTTGGCAAGTCGCCAGTGACCCGTGTCGATGGGAACTTACCAGACTTGGCGGCTTTCCTTTGATGTGCCATTGCTTTGAACTTTCCACCCGCGTCGGTCGTCGCCCCGCCCAATTCACCACAGTCCACCCGGAGCTCTTTAAGAGACCGAATTCAATGACGCATACGTGGCTTTCAACTGAAGCGAATTGGGTCAGACTTTGTCGGCGGCACTGCCTAATGAAATACGCGACGCGCCCATAGATGGCTTCCAGTGGTCGTTTCCATTCACTGGCCCATTTTTTTCCAAGGTGAAGCCTCAGAACAAGGTAAATGGGCGCAGATTGGCTGTGGGGGGCACCAAACAGTACCCTGCCAGACTTGTGCAAGCCATTTTCTGAAGACCTGTGAATTCCTGTAACTAAAACGGCCTACGTTTTCTCAACCTCTCAGTAGTTTAGAGGTATTACCCTGTTAGTTTGCATGTACTAGCAATAGGAACTAGGAAAGTACAAAATACCCCTCCAAGCCGAATAGCGAGTGAGAAGAAAGGCACAGATGCCTACGCTTATTGGCATTGTTCCATACTTGGGTCTAGGCCTTTAATAAATATTGTCAATCTGCTCTTGGCAACGCTTATGTAAGGGGATTAACTCTCACGCTGGGGTACTACCTCCTATGGCGCTGGCCCTCCTCTCGAGGACTCACAGGTGCGTGCCAAAATGAGAGTGGTTAGGATGAATCAGTCCTCAGATTAGCATGGAAGAAAATTGAAACGGGAATTCTTCTTGTACTTCCATGACCTTGGTATGATAGAATATACAGTTTGGCTTTGTGGGGGCATTTTGCTGGTCTCCATCGATCACTGCCGATGCTCCTGTGCATACTTGTATACTTGTAAATGCCTGTAAATGCATGCTATAGTAGGAGGTTCGTTCATCCTGACAAGAGTCTACAGGTGTCAGCAAGGTGTGACGTGTTATTTGGTAGTAACTCGCAAAAAGGCAAAATGTCCCTCCCAAGCCGGGCAGCGTTGAACTCTTTGTCCTTTCAGATGCAATGGTGAAAATGTCAGCTCGTCTCCGAGGACCGCAAAACCTTCACCAAGCTCTACAACCATTACCAGTTCAGCTCAGCGAAGCCGTCATGGAAATGCAAGAACGAAGCGTGACCGTTTCTAACAAGGTGGGTTTCAGCTCCTTCTGGATGGTTTTATTGATCGATATTGACTGAAAATTATTTGACTGCTGGAGGTGGTTAACTGTCCTCAGTCCAGTAACAGTAAGTCAGACTTCTAACTAGAAAACCAAACTTCATAGATCGGATTGTGTCGTTCTCGCGTGTTAATAATCGTGAACCTCCACTACCTGTTCTGTAAACTCGTGCGGACTGGGCTGGGAGGTGGGGGGGGGGGAATGAGGAGTGCGGCTACAAATGCCTGGTGCTGGATCAAATTCCTGATCAAATATTGCTTGGATCAAGAAATCTTCCATAGTTCAAAGTCCATTAGCTGGCTGGAGCCCTGAAATGCTTTGAGTTAATGCGAGCTGTTTTCATGAAGGGAATTCCTTCTTAGCACGACTTCCCCTTCCCACCCCCCCCCCAAATATTGGTTTTCAGGCAAATGTTCAGAGAACCTGCCCCAAAAATCTTTCCACCGTTG